CTTTACCATTTTAGCATGTTGTATGTCGTTTCCCTTAACGAAATGTACCTCTGTGTACCTCAGAAAGAAAAGTACCTAGAATCTTGACCGAAGGTACCTTGTCCAACCCGGAACCTCCAGAATCTGAGTTCAACGCCATACAAACGGTAGCCTTTTACTCTTCTGTGTGAACTCGGTTTTAAAAGAATAGTAAAAGCGTTATTAACAAGTAAGCCGAAAACAAGACCACTGACAGTAGCAAACCTAAATTGCTGTCCCCTCTTGAGGTAGATGGAAAATGCAGTTCTCTGTTTAGAAATTGATACCGTAAATGTGCGAGTCTGGGAATTTGGACTTCTATATGGCAGGAAAAAATTAATTTTTTATTTATTAATTAGAACTACCCACAAAACTTCATGGTCATGTCTTCGTGGAAAACAACGGGAGCAAAATGCGATGGGTTTGCATACGTGTCCACTGAATGACCGCGGCTGCCGTAGAATGGTATCCCCAATGAATCGAAAAATGCCTCTTGACTGAACCAACGAATTTGTCGATCTCCTACATGGATCTTTGTGGTAAAGCAAAGCAAAATGATCGAAGAATGGAAGAAATGCCATGACGACTCATTGTATCTGTATGCTGAACATCGGTCAATCAAGATATCAAAGTGTGACGCTTATTTAATATCGTTTGCGATCTGGCAATGGAACTCGGTTAATATTTCCGAACGCTTTGGCGGAAATAAATCATATTTTAATTTAGAGCATGCAGCAATCTATCACTGTTTTAAAGACATTCATCAAATACAAATATTTCCCCAAGCAGTCGTCGGTTGTTAATAAGAATGGTGGTTTCGAACTCTTCGGTTTCGGTTTGCAATCCTAATGTTCTTCTTCTGTTCGAAATTTCTAGAACATGCACACACATATATCTATCTGCCCAGATTACAAGAAATTGGTAGCCAACCCTTATCAAGGAAAACTGAAGGTTCCAGAGTGGTTCTGGTGCATGTGTTTCCAGAAATCGTAATTTGCTCGTTACTCCGTATTCATGACGAGGATATCAGAATTATATTTCAGTTTTAGTTTAGATGATCGCTTTTCCTTTCGAGCCAATGTTCCTGATCCTGACCCAGCATTTGATCTTCAGCAGAAAATAACTCGGGTATTGAACAGAGTTCTTTGAGACTTATCCAAGGTTGTTCTTGGCCATCTCCAGGGTTTTCGGCCTGTCGGTTGAGCAAGCAGTGGCTGTTTCGCCTTCATTTCTGGAAGCATTTGCTGAATGTTTCCGTACATCGAAGCAGCGGTTGTACAGCAAGGCTCTCTTGGATATCTGACGTGAAGAAATCACATCGAGACAGGTGAATCCAGCAGTTTTTCTGAGAAAGCCCATTTCAGCCGCTTGTACCTCGGATATATGTCTTAAATTATGGGCAACGACGCATGATCTTACATGAGCATGGGGATGAAACTACACCTGAACACGGCAGATTATTATTTTAATCATTAGATTAATTAAAAGAAGAACTCTGCCAGAAGTATTATCAGAGTTCAGCATATGTTCATGATTTGGAAGTTAACTGATAATGACGGTGTTACAGTGTCTCTCAAAGGACAAACTCGATTCATGTGATTCATCGTTGTCGCTTGATGGCAATAATTGACAGCTGATGGAATGTCACGATTGACACATTGGTTGAGCGAATATCTCAGGGGCACGCAGGGCATGAGTTGCAATTTATTCTATGCACAATGAGGGAGTAAGTAACGCCGTCAACTCTGTCAGTTGTCGCAGCTGTATGATAAGCATGAAGTCATTCATCGAGTGCCACAAAGAAAGTAAACGTTGTTTAAACTCAAGCCAAAATGAAAGACATTTAGCACATTAGATATGTCAGACATTTAACGTTTAAACGATATATGAAACCATGTGC